CCCAAGAGTGCAGAATTTGGGGTGCCCCCCTATCCTCACCTATGGGAGGCGGTTCCCACCCCAGGTATGCAGAATTTGGGGTGCCCCCCTCACCCTCACCTTTTCCCCCCCAGGCAAACCCAAAGCACCATCACCTGTCCCCGCTGTCCCCTCGAGCCACGCCCCGAGCCAGCCCGCGGTGACACACCTGGCCGTGCAGGCCACGCCACAGGTAACTGTCCCCCGGGGCTGGGGGGTGAGGGAGGGTCCCGGGGGAGGGGTCTGCACCCAGGGGGGGGCAGGGAAATGGGGGGACCCCATGGAGAGGGCGGGGCCAGGGAAGGGGGTCCCTGTTTGTCCCCACACACAGACCTTGGGGGAGGGGGGAGGGAGGCCCCAGGTGCCCCCCACTATGGGAAAGGGGTCCCATCTAAGGGGGGGACCCCAAAATCAAGGGGATCCCCTCTGAGTGGGGGTCAGAGAAAAGGGGAGACCCCTCCTCCTTTATGCGCCCCCCCAGAGGGACCCCAAACAGAGCTCCCCACAGAGAGGGGTTCACAGGGGAGGGGGCTCCCCCTTTCCCTTCCCCCCAGAGATTCATTGGGGGGCTTCACAGGGGAGGGGTCTCCCCCTTCCCCTTCCCCCCCATAAATTCATTGGGGACCCCCTAAGGGGTTCACAGGGGAGGGGTCTCCCCTTTTCCCTTCCCCCTCCAGAGATTCATTGGGGGGGTTCACAGGGTGGGGGACCCCCCGTTCGCCCCCTCCCCCCCGAGATTCACTTGGGGGGGCTCCCCCTGGGAGGGGTCTCCCCCTTTTCCCTTCCCCCCAGAAATTCATTGGGGACCCCCCTAAGGGGTTCACAGGGGAGGGGTCTCCCCCTTTCCCTTCCCCCCCAGAGGTTCACGGGTGGGACCCCTCCCCTTTTCCCCGCATAGATCTATCCCGGGCCGGGTGGGCGTGGCATGGGCGTGGCGCGGAGTGGGCGTGGCGTGGCATGGGCGTGGCGCGGAGTGGGCGTGGCGCGAAGTGGGCGTGGCGCGGCTCCCCCTCCGTGCTCCCGATCGAGGCGTTGATTGGTGTTTTCTCTCTTTCAAATCTCATTTATCTCCGCAGGTGTTGGCTCAGGAAAGCTTAGCCACAGGTGTGACAGGAGTAATGGTTCCGGCAGGGCCCGTTACTCAACCTCTTCTTATCCCCATCAGTATTGCAGGTCAGGTGACAGGCCAGCCGGCGCTGGCCCTGGTGACAATTCCCACAGCAACGCTGGCCGCCGCCGCGCTCCCGGGACTGACGCCGGCGGCACCCGCGGGGGCGCTTTTCAAAGCCAATCTGGCAGGTAACCGCAGGTAAACCGCGCCCAGGCCACGCCCAGGCGCGCCAGGGACACGCCCAGGCCACGCCCAGACACGTTCGGGACACGCCCACACGCCCGGGACACACCCGGGACACGCCCGGGACAGGTGTAGATTTGGAGCTCCAGGTGTGGCTGCAGGAAGGAGCAGAATTTGTATTAAATTTGGGAGATTTTGGGATTTAGGGTGTAGGTTTGAGGCTCCAGGTGTGGTTGCAGGAAGGAGCAGAACTGGGCTTGAATTTGGGAGATTTTGGGATTTCAGGTGTAGATTTTGGGCTCCACGTGTGGCACCTGGTGTACATTTGAGGCTCCAGGTGTGGCTTCAGGAAGGAGCAGAATTTGGATTAAATTTGGGAGATTTTGGGATTTAAGGGGTAGGTTTGGGGCTCCAGGTGTGGCTTTAGGCAGGATCAAAATGTGGCTTGAATTTGGGGGATCTTAGGATTTCAGGTGTAGATTTTGGGCTCCAGGTGTGGCACCAGGTGTGGATTTGAGGTTCCAGGTGTGGCTTCAGGAAAGATCAGAGTTGGGCTTGAATTTGGGCAATAAAAGGTGTAGGTTTGGGGTTCCAGGTGTGGCTTTAAGCAGGATCAAAATATGGTTTGAATTTGGGGCGTTTTAGGATTTCAGGTGTAGATTTTGAGCTCCAGGTGTGGCTGCAGGAAGGAGCAGAATTTGGATTAAATTTGGGAGATTTTGGGATTTAAGGTGTAGGTTTGAGGTTCCAGTGTGGCACCTGCTTGAAGCGGGTGAGGTGGAGGTCGATTTGGGGCTCCAGGTGTGGCTTCAGGGAGGATCAGAGTTAAGATTAAATTTGGGAGATAAGAGGTGTAGATTTGGGGTTCCAGGTGTGGCTGCAGGGAGGAACAGAACTGAGTTTCAATTTGGGGGATTTCAGGTGCAGATTTTGAGCTCCACATGTGCCACCAGGTGTAGATTTGGGGTTCCAGGTGTGGCTGCCATAATGATTGGAAATGGGTTTGAGTTTGGGGGATTTCAGGTGTAATTCTGAGCTCCACATGTGCCACCAGTTGTAAGTTTGGGCCTCCGGGTGTGGCTTCAGGAAGGATCAGAATTTGGATTGAATTTGGGAGATTTTGGGATTTCAGGTGCAAGTTTGGGGCTCTGGGTGTGGCTTTAGGCAGGATCAAAATGTGGCTTGAATTTGGGGGATTTTAGGATTTCAGGTGTAGATTTTGAGCTCCAGGTGTGGCTTCAGGAAGNTGTGGCTTTAGGCAGGATCAAAATGTGGCTTGAATTTGGGGGATTTTAGGATTTCAGGTGTAGATTTTGAGCTCCAGGTGTGGCTTCAGGAAGGATCAGAGTTGGGCTTGAATTTGGGGGGTTTCATGATAAAAAGGTGCAGATTTGGGGCTACAGGTGTGGTTGCAGGAAGGAGCAGAATTTGGATAGAATTTGGGAGATTTTGGGATTTAAGGGGTAGGTTTGAGGCTCCGGGTGTGTGCTCCTTCAGGAAGGAGCAGAATTGGGCTTGAATCGGGGGAATTTTAGGATAAAAGGTGTAGATTTTGAGCTCCAGGTGTGGCTGCAGTAATGAGAGGAAAGGAGTTTCAATTTGGGGGATTTCAGGTGCAGATTTTGAGCTCCACATTTGCCACCAGGTGTAAATTTGGAGCTCCAAATGTGGCACCAGGTGTGGATTTGGGGTTCCAGGTGTGGCTGCCATAATGATTGGAAATGGGTTTGAATTTGGGGGATTTCAGGTGTAATTCTGAGCTCCACATGTGCCACCAGTTGTAAGTTTGGGCCTCCGGGTGTGGCTTCAGGAAGGAGCAGAATTTGGATTAAATTTGGGAGATTTTGGGATTTCAGGTGTAGATTTGGGGCTCCAGGTGTGGCTTTAGGCAGGATCAAAATGTGGCTTGAATTTGGGGCATTTTAGGATTTCAGGTGTAGATTTTGAGCTCCAGGTGTGGCATCTGGTGTGGATTTGGGGTTCCAGGTGTGGCTTCAGGAAGGATCAGAGTTGGGTTTGAATTTGGGGGGTTTCATGATAAAAAGGTCCAGATTTGGGGCTACAGGTGTGGCTGCAGGAAGGAGCAGAATTTGGATTGAATTTGGGAGATTTTGGGATTTAAGGTGTAGGTTTGAGGCTCCAGGTGTGGCTTCAGGAAGGAGCAGAATATGGTTTGAATTTGGGAGATTTTGGGATTTAAGGTGTAGGTTTAAGGCTCCAGGTGTGGCTTCAGGAAGAATCAGAGGTGGGCTTGAATTTGGGAGATAAAAGTTGCAGGTTTGAGGTTCCAGAAGTGGCACCTGCTTGCAGCAGGTGAGGTGGAGGTCGATTTGGGGCTCCAGGTGTGGCTGCAGGAAGCAGCAGAATTGGGTTTTAGTTTGGGGCATTTTAGGGTTTCTGGTGTAGGTTTGGGGCTCCAGGTGTACATTTGAGGCTCCAGGTGCAGCTTCAGGAAGGGTCTGAAATGGGCTTGAATTTGGGGGATTTCAGGTGCAGGTTTGGGTGTCCAGGTGTGGCTGCAGAAAGGACCAAAATTTGGCTTGAATTTGGGCGATAAAAGCTGCAAATTTAGGGCTCCAGTGTGGCTGCAGGAAGGTTCAGAGTTGGGCATGAATTTGGGGGATAAAAGGTGCAGGTTTAGGGTTCCAGGAGTGGCACCTGCTTGAAGCAGGTGAGGTGGAGGTCGATTTGGGGCTCCAGGTGTGGCTGCAGGAAGGATCAGAGTTGGGCTTGAATTTGGGGGGTTTCATGATAAAAAGGTGCAGGTTTGGGGCTCCGGATGGGGCTTCAGGAAGGAGCAGAATTGGGCTTGAATTTGGGGAATTTTACGATTTCAGTGTAGGTTTGGACCTCCAGCTGTGGCACCTGGCTGAAACAGGTGAGGTGAAGGTAGATTTGGGGTTCCAGGTGTGGCTGCAGGAAGGAGCAGAATTTGCCGTCAGTTTCAGGAATTTCAGGATTTCAGATGCAGGTTTGAGGTTCCAGGTGTGGTGTGGATTTGGGGTTCCAGGTGTCACTTCAGGAAGGGTCTGAAATGGGCTTAAATTTGGGGGATTTCAGGTGCAGATTCGGGGCTCCAGCTGGGGCTGCAGAAAGGATCAGAGTTGGGGTTGAATTTGGGGAATAAAAGATGCAGGTTTGGGGCTCCAGGTGTGGCTGCAGGAAGGAGCAGAATTGGGTTTGAGTTTGGGGAATTTTATTATTTCAGCTGCAGATTCGGGGCTCCAGATGTGGTTCCAGGTTCAGATTTGAGGTTCCAGGTTCAGATTTGAGGTTCCAGGAGCAGATTTGAGGTTCCAGGAGCAGATTTGGGGTTCCAGGAGCAGATTGGGTGTTCCAGATGTAGATTTGGGAGCTCCAGGTGCAGATTTGGGGCTCCAGGTGCAGATTTGAGGTTCCAGGTGTGTCCCCAGTGCAGATTTGAGGTTCCAGGTGTGTCCCCAGTGCAGATTTGAG